AGTGGGGCCGTTCCCTTACAATAATGATGTCAACTAAATTCTCGGTCCGTCTCGTTTTATGTGGCGCTGCTCGATTTCGTAATAGGAGCAAGAACACGGCTCTCTGTATCATGTTCGCGCAAAGGATCCTGACATCCAGCTCATAATGCTCTCAACATTCAAGGTGGTGATACGCTCATAATCTGGGGAGCCCTCCCATTGGAGACAGCACCAGTTTTCACATCTTTTGCTTTCATGCTAGGGATACAAGTTTGTCAACACCAAAGGTTAACAAGGGCTTGAAAGTGCTTTCATCTATGGCTTAGAGCCTTGTGGCGTCATGACTGCCGTAAAGAACCCATTCATGTCAATAAGCCTCGTAGTCGAGCCGAGGGGTAAGCGAAGATGCTGTGCGGCATTTTCGATGATTACAGGCAGTACGATGCGGCAATCGAAAAAGAAATACGGCCGAAATGCCTTGTGTGTTGTAAGATGTGAGCAGGGGGGAGGGCGCAATCCATCCCAAACGAGTATCTATTTATACATGGAATTTTATGCATAAGGACGAGCTTAATCTAGCTAGGAACCCTGCCCACACCCCTTGGTGTGTTCCATGGACACATAAAAAAATTGAAATACATTGACTTTAAAAACGCGCCGGTAATACGGGATTTTCGGCTTTATATATCAAAATTACACTCAACATAAAGGCGTGGCAGACGGCATGTGTGTTTATCAAGGTGTAGCGCCATGTGGGCTACAGCTCCTACAACAACTTCCAATAGATTGATACATGTCAGTATACTCCATCCAACCAAAACAATGGCTTCCGTATCATTTTCCGGCTTCAAGGGCTGGGCTCAGCTTGCCCACATGTACGGGACGCGCCGGCTCACCAATCCCTCGGATACGCTGCCTGCATTTTACGGCATTGCTCAGGGCTACGAGGCCATTTTGAAACATGTCACGTCTCCCTATTGAGTTTGATAAGCCCTGCACAGAGAGTGTCTAGCTGTTGAGTTTTCAACAGCGATTTGACGTAGTGCAAAATGACGACATTTGGGAGACTTCCTAGGGCCTTAATCCATAGCTTCATATTAATAATAACAATGAAAAGGTTGAGTCTATTGATGAAAAATCCTTTAAATTTAACCCCTTTTATATCCGGTCCAGGGCCTCTGCAAGCCTGTTGGGACCCCTGACGATAACCCTCAAATTTAACCAGTCCTTTCTGACGCAACACTAGCCCGTTTGCTGTATTTTGCACCTGGGAGGTCGGTCCTGTCTTATACCCCCGGCAGTTCCTGTAAGCCTTGTGGAAGAGCACGCAATGCTTTTCTGATACCTTTCCTCCTCTCACTCCTTTCGAAACGTAAGATAATATCTTCCCTTGGGAAACCTAGGTATTCGTTAGAACAGGAAAATATTGAACCAATATCATAGTATCAATACTTACGATCCATTCGCCGCCTCGATAATTCTTGCTTTGACTTCCTTCCACAAGTCAGCATCGTCTCGAACGCATTGAGGCAGAGTCGATAGACGGCCATCCAAGTAGCATTCCACGTCTCCCGGGTCTGCTCGAATGAGTAGCGTTTCGTCTCTTGGAAAAGATGTTTCAATACTCTCCATAGGGCGGGATGTCGTCATAACCCTTGTATCGGTGTAAATTTGCAAACGGCAAACATAGGTCAGTAAAGCTTCGCGGACAGGGTCCGAACACTGATCCAAAGCATCGATGACTAAATATGCTGGACCTTCCTCGTCAACAAGACGAGTTATTGCGTCGAAAATATCCAGAGTGACGAGTTCTCTTCCTATTATCATGGGTTTTTCGAAGACCTCTTTGACTGACTCAGGAATGGAAGTGCATTGGCTAAGAAACTGATGAAGGACCATGCCGAGCAGATTTTTAATAGTCTGCTCTTCTTCACTTTTGGAGTTGCAGTATATGAATGCAACAGGTGATCGTCTGCCGGGTTGAGCTCGTATATGCTCTATCGCGATCGATGCCAGTACAGTTTTGCCAGTGCCGGGAGCACCGGGACAGTAGAGACCCTGGTACTCTCCCCCCAGCCACATAGTAAATTCGGGAGACTCTAGAAACCACTGCCCAGTTCCCGGTTGTCTCTGCTGAAGAATTTCCGCATGTTGTTCTTCGTAGGTGGGAGAAGAGATGATCAAATCCAAAATGTCGTCACGTTCTTTACGTTGTTGTTCTATAAAGAGTTAATACAATGAATTTTGCATAATACTTGGAGAGCTTCTCGAACCATGTAATAGACGCTCAAGGTCTTGATTTGTAGACTCGGCCTCTTCAGGCGCTACATAGAAATAATTGTCAGCCTTGGCCCTTCCTCTCTTCTGCTGGTCTGGACTCACTCTGCTTCATAATTCCCAATTCCTCCTCTGCCGGCGCCACCTTTCCTGCGGGTATGATTTGGAGAAGCTCCTTGGCATATGCCGCTGCCGTTGCCGCCGCATACCTTTGCCAGCGCTCATTCCTGTGGGAGTCGGAATAGTGGCAGATCCCTCGTATGACAAGACACGGTACATCGGGCATGAGCCCATACGCCATCGTCTCAAGGCAAAGTATCCCCTGCTCCCGTCGGAACCTCTCTCGAGTAGAACTATTCCATATATCCTGAGGACCTGAGCCAATAATACCGTAGTGAATTACAGGATCGTTCGTGTCTCTGGGCTCTCGATGTACCAGTCGCTCCTTGTCGCACATTTCACAGCCTCCCTCTTCCCCCTTGTGCTGGAAATCCTCTTCGAACAGCTCATCGTGCTCGTGACCTTGATACTGGAACTTCGGCCTCAGCCCCGGCTTCAACGTCAGTATATCCGAAATATGCCGACTGATTGCGCTCCTCACAGTCTCGCTTTTTGCACGAAGTTCTGAGACTGCGTCTGTAAGTATCGCCGGCGGTTTGTTAAAAAAGTCTCTTTGAGTAAATTCGCCCTCCTGAAATACTTGCTCCCGGCCGTATTTTAAAACGCCTCCTATTGGTTGTGTAAGCTCAGATATTTCCTTGATCCAAAACAATTCTCTCTTACCATAGTTGCCTTCTGAGTGCCCGACCACTACATCCCCAAGCCGGATGTCTTTATTCGGATCGTCGCTTGGGGTGGTTGGCGCTCCGCCTCCAAAGCCGGCCATCAAGACAAAGCGGATATTCGGAAAGTCGTGGAGTAGTTTGTTTTCTGCCCAAGTCACAGCGGTTGCATTCTCTTCTCCACATCCTAGCCAAATAATAACAATATTATGCTGTCCAATCTGTCCCAAGGTAAAGCCATCTAAAGACCGTGGACGAAGGGCTGGGTGCTTCTCATCTAACATTAGTGTAGACGCTGCCAACTCGATTGGAGAAGTGCAAATCAATCCTACAGTGTAATCTCCATATGTGTAGCTCATTTTGGTGGCGTACAAAATATAGCGCGGCCGTGTATCGATGGTAGGCACCGTGGACGTTGGGAATGATCTGGTAAGAACAGCTTCGCTTGGCCATGCGCATCAACACCGAGTTAAAGCTATATCCCGAGGTTAGCAGGACCAAAAACAACAACAGTGGGGGTCCTTACGTGACGCGGTGGTGATTTCGTGGCCTTTACCGGAGCGCTCTTATTCAAATGACAGAGGAAAAGAAGGACCCGTTGGTCCGCCCTCTTTAGTCCGAAAAACGTGGAGTAAATAGATTTCTTAGCGTGAGGGCTAAAGACCGAGCCTCATGACACTCGTAAGTCGGAAGCGAGCGCCGAGTTGGGAACGGGAGGGTAAGGAAACAAAAACCGCAGGCCAGATGACTGGGTGGGTGGATAGCTTTTATAATCACGCCTGCGTGCTACCTGTTATCCATTGTGCTCAGTGAATGGTCCATCGTGTTCAGTGAAGCGTCTATCGTGCTTAGTGAACAGTCCATCTTACTTGTTGAACAGAATATTCTACTCAGTGAATAGTTTATTTTACGTAGTGAACAGTCTATCCTACTCAGTAAATGGTGAAACGCTACGACATGTAAGCTGACGCTGATCGTTTCCTTTTTGGTCTTGATAAAGCGCCGACATAACAAAGGCGTTGGGCCAACAACAGTTACACAACAACAAAGGAGGCATCACGAGGCCAAGGACCTTTAATACCCCAGGGCAGATCATCAAAGATTGCATTAAATTGATCATGTTCGAGCAGATGCACTGCCCTTGTCATGCGGTGTCACCTTGCACCACGCTCAGATCTCTCAAAGAGCGAACAGGAGCTTAACAAAAGATAAACACATAGCCTATTGCTCTGACCTGGGTGTGGTGTGATGGAACAAGGCTTGGGCTGGTTTTGCGATCGGGATGGAACAGCTCTGTCTCCACTCCGCCCATATGGCAGCAAACCTCAGCGTCTCAAGACAGGTGGCCAACACACATCAAAACGGTGCCGCGGTAGGAAGTCGACACAGTCGAGGATTCACTTACTGTGGTCTCCGTCGATCGACTATTTCAAGCTAATAGTTTTGCTAGCAGTCTGCTGAGTGCTCTACCGTCTACGGCGAAAACGAGGACACCGCCAACACACCGCGATACGACCACGATGTGTCCCTTGCTTCTGCAGGCATCGCACCGAACAGAGCCGAGTGACTTGGCCCTATTGTTCAGGATGTCACAGCCTGTCCAGCGCAGGAGCTTGGCCTGCAACAGCCCAAAAGCATCCACGCTGGCTCTGAATCACTGGCCTGCCCATGGCTCTGCGACCTCTCTGCCACCAGCTCTTGCTCAGCCGGGCAATCGGGCCGGTGGAATGTTCATCGTCACGACGTCGAGTCTCGGACTGTTCCGTCATAAATCGAGCTTCGGGTCGTCCCGTCCCTAGCGCCATCCCCAAACTGGCAGTTTTCGGTGCGCCCAGCGTTTGTGGGGACCTGGGTTCCAATTACACATAAAAAGTCAAGTCAATAGCCTCTGGCTACGCCGTTTTCTTCGTGACAACACTCATTAACAGTAACAGCATCGTCGCTGGCCTCCATGCCGGCCACGCAGCCAACAGGATTCGCTCCCGGCGACAAAGATGACAGAAACCGGGGTAATATGAGACATGACATGAACGGCTCCACGGCAGCATGCTGTGCAACAAAAGACGGCATCGGAGACACACATGTCATTGCGTCAGCAGCAGAATTGCCGAGCGGGACCACCCGCGCTGCAAATGCCTTGTGGCGCACCGCCTTGCCGTCTCAGTTTTCTCCTCTTTCGAGTCGGGGTTGCTCAGTACAGTCTCGACCAATCATGTCATATCCACGGCCGAGTTAATGCGTGTTTTTAGCTCAGCAGCGCCGCTCGCCGACCCGGCACTGAATGCCGCCAGAGACGAATGCCCCAGACGTGCCGCCTCGAATTCGCAGGTTCCATCTTAAACGCCGTTTTCACCAACTGGCATGTCAGCTGATAGACTTTTCTCGTGTCATCGCAGGACAGAGTAGACTGAAGGCCAAGTGTGCTGGCCACAAGCCGCCTCGACAAGCCCGGCTTCACAGGGTTCAAGATGTCCTGCTGTCTGGCTGCCGTGGTATAGTCACTGGACCGGAAATGGCAGCTTTGACACATTAACAGCTTATGCTATTCTGTATCCCTTGGTCTGATCTCTTCGCAGGTATTTGTATGGAGCATGGTAAACCGATCACCGAGTAAACCTGAATAACTTGTTCGGGAAAATCTTTTTTTTACTGGCTAACGATTTTAAATAACCAACCAGTCTGGCCGCAAATAGCAGTCATGGTATTATAGACTAGTCATCTACATCTGCTCCGTCAACACCATCCACCCATCAACCCCTACAACTTTGGTCTTCACAAATACTTATTGGCACCAAGCCACTCCTTCAGAGCAGCAGCATCACGCTTCTTGTACGCAGCGCGGCCGCGAATCTTGTCCTTGACCGTCTCCAGAGTTCGGTCAAAGCTCTTGGTATCCTTGTCCTTGAAGAACTGCTCAATGTCGTCCACGGCAGACACATCAGTGAACCCGCCCAGACTGACACGCACGAATCGGTCGACAACAATGGGGTTGCCGAGCTTGGCAACGCACGCATCCCAGTTGGCCTTCATGAAAGCCCACTGCACCTGGCGACCGACGGGGTTGCCGGCCAGACCCATGCCAAGGACGTGCATGTCAGCGGCGTTGACGGCGTTGCTTGGGGGAGACTCGTTGAAGTTGAAGGAGACGATTTGTTCCTTGAGGATCTGTTCGTCCTCGGGCGCCGAAAGAGCATTAAGGCAGATCAGCTTGCCATCAATGGACTTGGTGTTGAACCACTCGTTCTTCAGGATCTCGACTGCGCGGGCGGTATCCTTCTTGACGGCAGCACGCCAGACAGGGAGTCGCAAAGAGGGCGGGAGGGGGTTGGCCTCGGCGTTCTCGTGCCAGGCATTGAAGCGCCTCAGAGCTTCTTTCTCGGCCCTAGTAGAACATTAGTAACGAGATTGTAAATTGAATACGAAGAGACCAAAAGGCTACTTACTCGGCGTGCCCGCTGGCAACAGCAACGCCAATAATGCGCTTGCGCAACATGGTGGTCAAGTATTCTTCATTCTCAGCGGCATCCCAGCCAATCTCCTTGACCTTGTCCGAGATGAGCTTGAGAGCAAAGTTTTCCAGACCCGTCTTGATCTCCTTGTCCTCGTTAAAGACAGACTTGACAGAGCCGATGGAGTCAAGGACCTGGGTCCAGACAAGAGGGTGAGTCTCTTTGCTAAAGCCTTCGAGGAAGGTTAACAGAGCAGCAGACGTGCTGTTCCCGGCAAAGGCCAAATCTGCAGTAGAACCAATAATGGCAATCTTGTCCTCGGTGCTCAGTTTGTCGAGTTGGGTGCTGAGCTTGGCAAGGCGAGAAGGGGGGTAGTTGACGCGGTAGAAACCAGTGGCGCCGCTGTTGAGCTTATAGAACTCATCATCAATATCGCGGATGGTCTCCTCCTTCTGGAGAAGGGACATAGTGTTGACACCAGTCTCCCCCTTCTTGCCCTCGAGGCCAAGAGGAACCCACCACGTTGTGGTGTCATCTTCGGGCTTGACGTCGCCGGTGGACAGGAATCGAGACTGTCTGATGGAGATTTGGCCGGGCTCCTCGGCAACTGTAACCACAGGGTGACCAATCTTGGAGATCCAGGGTCCCATGAGAGTATTGACGTCCTTGCCAGAGGCCTCGCTCAGCGCATCCCATAGAGCCTTAGTCTTGGCATTGCCGTAAGCGTGGGCCTTGAGGTAGTTGGAAACGCCCTTGAGGAAGGTTTCAACGCCTAGATGGTTGGCCAACATGCGAATGGCAGAGCAGCCCTTGAGGTAGCTGATGGAGTCGAAGATCTGATTGACATCGAGGGCATCACGTACAGGGACGTGGATGGGGTGGCTGGCACGGATACCATCGAGACGGAAAGCAGCCTCCATGCCCTCGTTGACGAACTGAGCCCAGACCTGCCAGTCGGGGTGCAGGTGGTCGACAGCGTGCCAACCGACCCACGTAGCAAAACCCTCATTCAGCCACAGCTCATCCCACCAGTCCATGGTGACCAAGTTGCCGAACCACTGGTGAGCAAGCTCATGGGCAACAACGTAAGCGACGGCATTCTTGAATCGAGCATCCGAGGTCTTCTCATCAAAGAGAACCTGGGTGGTACGGTAGGTGACGAGACCCCAGTTCTCCATGGCACCGTGGGTGAACTCGTGGACGGCCAAAAGATCGGACTTGGGGAGTGGGTAGTCAATGTCGAAGATCTTGGAGAAGAAGTCGATAATCTTGGGGGCGTGCTGCAAAGCCCACCGTCCTTGTTCCTTGAGACCTCGCGTGGTATAGACACGGACGGGAATTTGCTTGCCATTGTACCGACGGTCCGTGAGCTGCTCAATGTACTCAAAGTCACCAACAGCCCATGCCAGGAGGTAGGTGCTCATGACGGGAGAAGTCTCAAAGGAAACCATGTTCCATCCATCCTTGGTAGGCTTGGTTTCCTTGACGGGCATGTTGCTGAGAGCGACCTGGTCGGTGGGTATTTCAATCTCAAAGTCAAAAGTGGCCTTCAGGTTGGGCTCGTCAAAGCAGGGGAAAGCACGTCGGGCATCGCAAGACTCAAACTGGGTGCTGAACATGTAATGCCACTCGTCATCACGAGGAACCGACTTGGCAGGAGTAACGGCAGGCTTGTACTTGGAGCGGTAAAAGCCAGCCATCTCGTTGTTCATGATGCCCTCGAAGTCGATAACAACGGATGCCTTCTTGGAGACGGGGAGCTCCTGGTCAAAGGTGATGGTAGCGCGTTGGGCACGTTCATCGTAGGTGAAGTTGGTAGACTGGATGGCCTGAGAGGACTTGGTGTGGTCTACAAGGACCTTGGCGCTGGTAATCTTAATCTCGAGGGTGTTGAGGACAATCTCCTTGGT